TTTCCCCCCCCCCCCCCCGCCCCCTGTGTATCATCCTTTCTTGTGAGCCGACTCGGTCGCAATGGCTCCCTTCTTGCCAAAGACTCGATACTTAGCGTCTGCACGGAAAGAAAGTGAAAGGTGTCGTCTTTGGGGCTTCTGGGTTTGGATTGAAGGATTCCTATGCTATACAAACTGCCAGGGTTCAGGGTTTGCCCTGAATTCCAATAAACCTAAACCCTAAACCGTAAACTCTACTTACTTGTGATGCCAGAGGGTAAAGAAAGAGCTCTAAACCCAAACTACAAGCCGCAGATCGCACCCCCACCGGGTATATCAACAGATGTAGAATAGTTAGGATAATGCAACCTCTGAAGAGCGCATTACTTACTATCATACAGGATCGGTCGAGCCAGTGGCCGCCTCAACTGCGAGCGCTGTACTAACGTGAACCCTAAACCCGAAAACCTGAACCCTGAACCCTCAACCCTAAATCCTAAACCCTATAGACCCTAAACCCGACAACCTAAACCCTGAAGCCCAAACCCTAACAATGTAGCGGTGAAAAAACACCACCGTGAAACCCTATCCGAGGGCCCTGCTCATCGCTTCACGAACCCTGAGCATCGCAAGGTCTTCAAGTCTATAGGGCTTAGGAGGTTTAGGGTTTTGGTTTAGGGTTTATTATTTATTAGGCTTTAAAACTTTGGGGTTTAGGGTTTGGTTCAGGCTTTAGGGTTTAGGGTAGTCTATACCCCAAGGGTCCTTTGTACTTATATAGTAGAATGTAGGGTCTGTAGCATAGAAATTACGATTGTGGTTTGGGCAAGTATCCCCCATAAGAGTACCTAGGACCCTTTAAAATCGCCCGACATCCTTGTTCATTAAAGCCTTCTACATTGGCAGTGCCCAGGCGGTCTGCTACAACTCAAAAGTTGTTGGTCCCTCTAAACCCTAAATCCTAAACCCTAAACCCTAAACCCAAGGCTCTAATGACAGACTGGGAAGACGGAACTTTCTGGGTGTATAAGACGAAAATACTGCACATGAACATGGAATATGAGGAGCGTGACTCTGTGTAAACATACAAACATACATGTCATGTGTGTGTATATATATATATATATATAGATATACATTCATGTGTGTGTGTATATATATATAGATGCTATATATATATATATATATATATATATCCTCGGATATACAATGCAGCAACAAAGTTGCCGTTTCATGGGGCTGTTACAATCGAAACCTTGGCGTCATCACGACACACTCGACCTAAGCCCTAAACCATAGGACCTTATAAACCCTGAGCCCTAGCCCTAAAACCTAAACCCTAAACCCTACAACCCCAAACCCAAAGCCCAAAGCCCCTAAGCCCCAAACCCTAAAAACCCTAAACCCTAAACCCAAAGCCCTAAACCCCAAACCCTAAAACTAGGACCCTAAACCGTCTGCCCAGAACTGGAGCGGGCCCAGACCTGTGCCTTCGATCCGGAGCATTGACGATTCTCCGCATGCCAGTCCCTAAACTTTACGGTTTGGGGTTCCTTTTTATTGTAGGGTTTAGGGTTTTGTTTTTTTTAGAGTTTAGGGTTTAGGGTTCAGGGTTTTAGGGACCTAAACCCTAGAGATCGCATAGCAGAAGAGACCTCGCATGGTATGAGTGCTACAACAATCCAGCAGAGCCCCTTCGCATTCCCCAGTAGGCTTCCGGAGCCACAGGGCCATAACACAAAGACGAGGTAATATGGAAGCCTGAGCAACCAGGACCCCCAAGCGCCCTTTAGTAGAGCCCTTATGGTTCTTAATAGTGGGTATGTAAAGTAGATTAGAGGTAATTGGGGGGCCTGGGAAATACCAGAGGCATTTTCCAACGAGATCTATTACCAAGCCCCTACGTAGTATATACCTAGACCCTTAAATGCAGTACTCTTTTTTAGTAATGACCTTTTTCATGGTTAGGATCCCATAATAAGAAACTGAGGTAAGACCAAGAAGGTACTACCTTTGAGGATCCAGCTAGAGCACCGACCTCCCCCTTGGTCAACCTAGAAACCCTCAACCCACAACCCTAACCCTAAACCCTAAACCCTGAACCCTAAACCCTAAACCCTAAACCCTAAACCCCTAAACCCTAAACCCTAAACCCTGAACCCTGAACCCTAAACCCCAACCTCACCTGAAACCCAGGAGCCTCGAACCCGGAACCCAACGTCTCCCTGAATCCACCACGGGCCAAGCCGGCAGACCCGCTGCTTCGAAACCACGAGCCACCCAAGAACCCTAAACCCTAAGCCCTAAACCCCAAGCCTAGGGTTTAGGGTTTAGGGTTTAGGGTTTAGGGTTTAGGGTTTAGGGTTTAGGGTTTAGGGTTTGGGGTTCCCCAAACCCTAAACCGTAAGCCTCAAACCCTAAACCCTGAGCCCTAAGCCAAGACGCGAAATCGCCTGACCTTGAGTTGAAGCCTTCGCCTTGCGACCTCGGATCCTAAACCCTCATAGCCTACACCCCAGACGGTGGGTTCAGAGTTTAGGGGTCTAGGGTTTAGGGTCTTCCAGGCCCCCAAAATTTCTTTTAATAGAGCCCCTATGGTGCTTAATAGTGGGTGTCCTCAACCCTAGCCCTAGACCTCGAAATAGGCTCTTATATGGGTAATTCTCTCAACTAGGGTCCCTTGCAGGGTCCTTTTGTATAAGGGTGCCGTACTATACCTGGGGACCAAAAATGGAACCCTAATTTTGAAAACTACCCATATAGCCATATAGCCTCTAAACACATTCGCACTCATCCCTTCTTCACCGCAGCTCCCTGAACTCCCTAAACCCTAAACTTTCTAAACCCTAAACCCTAAACCCTAAACCCTAAACTTTCTAAACCCTACAAGGAAGTCGGAGAGTCTGAGCAAGGGACCCGCAATCAGGAACTCGGGCATCTGGAGGCTTAGGTCCACCTGCGACATTGGTGTAACAAACGGTTTAGGGTTTAGGGTTTAGGGTTTAGGGTTTAGGGTTTAGGGTAGGGCTTTTGACCCTAAGCCTAAACCCTACCAGGACCCCCCAAGCCCCCTCGTTTAAGAGAGCCCTTATGGCCCTTGACAATGGGTATTTAAAGTATAAATAAAGGGTAGTTTGGGGGGTCTAGGTAGGTGTGTAGGGCTTATAACCCTAAACCCTAAACCCTAAACCCACATTAGGCTTAGGGCTTGGGGGCGTCGGGTTTAAGGGCAGAGTAAGCCCTCGCAAGCTAAGGCCATGGCTCAGCGCTAGCTGTTTTGCCCTACTCGTTGTAGAAATTCCCACAGAACCCAATGCCCCTTGATTAAGGAATATGCCTTCAATCATCATATTAAGGACCCAATAATGTAAGATATATGCCTTAATTAAGGGGTATTGGGTTCTCTGGGTTTGGGGAGCCTTAAGAATTGGAACACAGATTTGCGGTATATCGTCTCTACCTTGCTTAGTAAGTCGGGGCGCCTTGATACTTGCAGCGACGGCTTAGTGCATACGATACTACAACTACCTGGGTAGTTTTCTAAATTAGGGTCCCTTTTTAGGTCCCCAGGTATAGTACGGCACCCTTATAAAAAGGACCCTAAAAGTGACCCTAAGTTGGAGAACTACCAACGTACAATCACAACCTTGAGCCCTAGGGAACGGTAGCTGGGCAAATTACCAGGGCATGGTTTAGGGTTTAGGGTTTAGGGTTTAGGGGTTTAGGGTTTAGGGTTTAGGGTTTAGGGGTTTAGGGTTTAGGGTTTAGGGGTTTAGGGTTTAGGGGCATGAGGGCGTGCAAAGGAAGGACTTGATGATCTGACTCGAAACCATACTTGGAGGATCATGGGACTTAGTAATAAGTAGGGTTATAAGTACCTTAATGGGTGATATATGATTAAATATAACTATAGTTACCGTATTTATAACCTTCCCATGATCCTCTAAGTATGGACCGCAAGCCCGACAGTGACTAGCGCCAGGAACCTAAACCCTAGACCCCCGGATCCTTCACGACAGCAGCCCCATCGAGGCTTTAAACACCCCTAAACCCTAAATCCAAGGATTGAAAGGATCTAGAGGTCTAGGGCTTAAGGCTTATAATTGGCTTGATACGTCTATGCTGGGGGTTCGGAACTCCGCGCCTTTCCATCGGAAAGACTGCGAGTAGGTCCTCAGCAACAGAGTTGCCACAGCAACAGAGTTGCCAGAAAATACAGACATGCTCTTCAGATAGGGTTTAGGGTTTACAGGGGTATGTGGCCCCAAATAATAGGTATTTCAGGTCGAATAGAGGGTCGATGGAGGGTCTATGCCCCGTCCATGGCCGGACGGCCACTTGGCGCTACCTCGACCCTGAATAGCCCACCTTTTCAGGACTTGTAGCAGGAAATCCTATGAAGAACCCCAAGGAGAGAAGTAACATTAAACACGTACAGTTTCAACGCTCATAAACCTTAAACTCAGAGGTAGCTGCCACAAATTTGGAAACTCAATGCCCGATATTACTAATTGTTCCTTCCGACTAGTCGACCGGACTGCGTCGGCTGGTGTTTGAAATCTCAGGGACCTTGAACTAAAATGTAGGGCTGCGGGTTGAGAGTTTAAGCTTAAATTGGGGTTTAGTAGTCTGTGGTTTAGGATTTCGGGTTTACGGTCTAGTAGTCCACCTACAGTCTCCATTGTAGTTCCTTTTGGAAGTTACCTTATAGGATCCTAATTGCAATATTGGTTAAACCAAAGAAAGGAACTACAATGGAGATTGTAGGTAGGGTCTAGGGTTTAGGGGCTAGGCTCTGGGGTTGTTTTAACTTGAGAGTGTAGGGTTGAAGATTTCGGACGCAGTGGGTCTTACCGCCTGTAGGAGGCCAGGCTAGATACTGTTGATGATTTAAATCTTGCACTACCCATAATGAGAGATATACTCGGATATACCATAGTTCTCATAGTTTAGGGCCCTTAAGGCAATGCAGGATTTATATCATCAGCAGTAGTGGAGTGTGTAGCGAAGAGCCGAGCTACCGCAACTAACGACACCACCAAGTCCTGTTTGAATGGCTCAAAACGTGAAAGCCTGATGCTTGGTGCCCTAATCTTACTAATTGGTGTGGGGCTTCCAGTTTAATGCGATACACTCTTGAGCTCTTTGTCCGGTCTACACCGAACACTCTGCCAGGCACCCGACGATGTGCCAACATGTGGCGCCTGACGGACACTTGCGGGGTAGTAGACTTGCGATGGATAATAAACCAAAGAATCGTCCATCGTTTGCTGCGCACCGGTTCCAGTGTTTCAAAACATCCGAATGACACTGCAAACGATGTTGACTCAAACGCACGTAAACAGCTCCGCCGGAAATTCCGTGCTTTCTGGAAGATGCTGCCGACCATTGCGAGTCTTCAACCTAAAGCACTGCGAGTCCCTGAACCCTGTCTGGGAGCTTGTGCACCCAGAAGCCATCCCGAACGAGCCAGGTACCTTGACGTAGTTCTTCTTGGATTTGAGAAGGTTCGCTTGCGCTCGGTTGACCTGCACAGGGCCGCTGTACATCGGGTTAAGGGCTTACGTGTCTACATACCAACTGGGCTTTCTCCGTACCTATATCATATATCCCTACAATTACGCCCTATGATAGGGCTCCATCTACCTAATTATAACACAAAGGTTACTGGCCATATGATGTGTAAACATGCAGATGGGTAGGCCGGGTAGGCGTGTCTGCCGGCACTGGGCTTCTAGGCTCCTTGAAGCTCCAAACCAAAACGAAACCTATGTATCCCTAAGATTCCAAAGGACCAAATAATAAGGTACTTCGGTTGCGGACAGTACTTATCTAGGCTAATATTTAGGAGAGGATATGATTGCTATGTTAGGTACTTGGACCCTTTGGGTATGGTCTCCACTGCAATTCCTTTCTTGTGTTACCGCTTGGGATCCTAAAGGTACAGCTGGTAAAACCCACAAAAGAATTAAGCCCTAAACCCTAAACCGTAACCGCAAAACCCTAAACCCTGGAATAAACCCCGTCTGGATAACAACGATGAACCCTACGATCCGCATTCCCGAAGCACTGATTTGGAAACCAACCCTAAGCCCTAAAACGGCAAATGAACTCCCAAGTGCACTGGTTCTGTAAATGATTAGCTCTGGTCCAAACAATCCTTACGCAGATTGTTTTGGCAAAAACCCTAAACCCAGCCACAAAATGCCGAACGAAGATTACTTCAACCCGTTGGGTTCCTAAAACCTTAACCCTACAAGCCCGAAAAGCCCCCATCAACCCCCAAGATTCGATAAGGCCCATCAACCCTATAAGCGAAACTTTATGAGCAAGCCCAATAGGCCTCCATGAACCCGAAATCCTAAGCCTATACATTTCTAAAGGCAAAAATTCTGCAAACCCTACACCCTAAACCCACAACCCTGAACGGCCCTGAACCCAAAGAGGCAAACACAAACTGTAAAACCTACCAAAGGCAAAGGGTGGCCTCAAGGTCGATAAAGACGGGCTCCTCACCGAAGTCCTTTTCGTACCTGGCTGCCCAGAGAGCCCCAATACCCCTGAACTAAGGAAGATAATACCTTAAATCAGGATATTAAATACTATTTAGCGTACTATCTTAGGGTCCCCTATTTTCGGAAACCCCCCATATAGTATAAACGCTGGCCTTAAAGTCGTCCGTATAGAGGTACTCTTCGGGGCCAAAGTAGAGACTATTCGGGTACATGGCCCCTTAGGCCACCATTTCTGGCATTGCCTAGTCTGGGCTTCACACAGGTGAGTCACTACTATGAACATTCAGGCTTGGTGTTTATAGGGTTTTAGGTCTTAGGATATTTTAGGGTTCTGGTTTTGCTACAGGGTCTGTAGGTGTTGCAGATTTTGCACAAGGGTGAAGAAGCTCAGGGCTGTTGAATCGAAGACTGTAAATCTGCACCTTGGACCTCCACTGCTGGGGTTTGGGTTTAAGATTTAGGGTTTAGGNNTTTAGGGCTTAGGGTTTAGGGATAAGATGGGGGAATGGGGCCCTGGAATACGTTATTACAGTAAAACATACTAGAACTACATATACGAATAGTGCGGAATAATATATTTGCAAGTTACATAGGCTTCTACAGTGGGCTTGGGGCGAGTATGGACTTCTATCGCTCAGCATCATGTGGGATAGCCTTGCTCTGGGGTAGTAACCCTGCACTCCTACAAGCCTGCAAATTAAAAAAAAACCCTAAACCCTGTAGTTCCTAAAATGCCATAAAACTCCAAAGTCACTTCTCCAAAACCCTTAAAATCCAAATCAACAAGGCTGGCTTCTTGCTCAACCTTGTCGAACCCAGCAACAAGCACGTCTGGCGCACGAGGTACCTCGCCTGAGGGTGCCTAGCGAAGCTGCTGGTCCAGGACGCAGGCTTTACCTACCGCCTCCCTTGTAAGTTCATAGGGGCCACCGTCTAACAGGAATCTGCAGAGGTTTGAAATAAGGGCTACTTTAAGGGTTAAGGATAGGGCCCATAATACATGCTGCTGGTGTGAACCAGCAGGCAT